TATACTTCCTTTCTTGCCGCAATTATTAGGGTTGCCGCAATTATTTTTGGCAGCATTGGCATCAATAGTTTGGCGATTTTTTACGGCCCTCAAAACCGAATAGTACCTATAAATCTAATATATATCCTAAGTCCCGCTTTGGAGGCATGAAAAACACAATTTGAATTTCGTCAATCGGCCTAGTAGAACATAAGATATAGAACTGCCAACCCCCTTTTTTTTCCCCGCAGTGTACCAGGTCCACGGGTACACACTTTCACAGAGTGAACAAAAAAGAAAAATTCGGCAAGGGATTCCTCTATGGTAAAACAGTGTCGGCGGGATGATGACACTACAAACTACTGTCTGTCTGCGAGAAGAACAGGCCCGCCACAGTGTCTGGCGGGTGGCGGTCGCTATAGCAACAGTCTTAGTATATTTCAAATAGGGGCGAGCCAAGGGTTGCTTTATTGTTATTTTACTTTTGGTGACTGTTGGCTGAGGGGAAAAGAGTTATCATTCGTCTTCAAGACACCCCTACCGAAAATGGATCAATGCTCGTTTCTACGGCAACAGACAGTGGTAGACTAACTGGCGAGAGGTTTTCTTATGATAGACAGACTGTAGTTTGCCCATAATTGCATTTATGGCAAATGAGGAAGAGTTTTAATGACACTGATCGAATTTGAAACATTTAAAACGGTCATCGACAAACTTAGAGAACGTATTCTGATGAACCCCTAGCATCTTTAAAGTGAGAGCACTTCCACGGTTACGTTACATTACTTGAATATGACAAACAACATCAGAGCTATCTGTCTAAAATGAGGATGCCCTTTTTTTGGAAGACTTTCAATGCAAACCGACTCTTATCCAATGTTACACACCGCTAAAACCACGAAAATTAAACCATGCAGCCAGCCATTTCGCCTTGGTTCGAACCCAAAACTATCAGCATTCAGCGTCTTAACCACTCAGGGAGGGGTGGGGGGTGCTACTGATAAAGTTCACCACCGCGGGGGCAGCCAATGCGTCAGTCTTTGATATGTATATTCCAAACATTTTGTTTCAAAATTCGACGGAAAGTATGTATTTCCTTCCTAGTTGTTAGGTATTCTTTTGGTACACTGAGTATCCGAGCACCTACGAAAAGTCGCCAACTCTGTCGGGTGGCTTTCTGAAGCGAAAAGTTTACCTTTAGCTACTTTAAGGCTCATAGATATTATTCCATCCTCAAATAATAACATGCAATACATTATCATCTGTCACAGTACACCTCTAAACTTGATGACTTTTGTCCACCACTATTTTGATAGCATTAATTGAATAATAACATTAAGCGATTAAAAAAAAAAACATATCCTTAAAACCAGACAAACATTTCAATTAGGGAAAGTAAAAGTTAATTTACGAACTGTTCATAATATCATTAATGCAAAAGTTCATTTATGAACTGCTCATAACATTTGTGGAAATTATTTGGCCGATATACAACAAATATGGAAATTATTTGGCCGAATCCCTAAATCTTCATATATAATATCTTTATATCTAATAACCTTTATATCGGATTGCATCCCTCATTGGAAGAAAACATGCCAATATAAAATTTTAAGGTACTCTTCTGTTATCAAGACCGGATTCAGAAGTTTATGCATGTGCACATATACGTGTGTACACATATAGATATATACGTATGTACATATATATATATATATATGCAGACATGAACACATCCATCCATACATACATTTCTAGACCCGGTCCTGATAACAGAACAGTACCGTACCAATTTTAAATTAAAGATAAAAAACCAACCTTAGTTTCACGTACAAGTTTTCAGGAAATAAATATTCTGCAGACTGTTTTTGCTCCTGTCGAAGATGAACCTGTGTCTGATTCCCTCAAAATTGACATAGTTAATAAAAATTTACGCCAAACTAAGGCTGCTTTTTTGCTAATTTTGGTAAAATCCTAGTATACGGTGCAGCCTTGGCCCGACTTTGAAAATTATCGCCAACACCAAAAATGATCCAAAGAATGTCTATATATATACTATACACTATATACTATGTGTGTATATACATAGTATATATACTATAATGCATAGTATATACTATGTTTAACTATATATTTTCTTTGAATGACTCGTTAACTCATCGTATATGTCCCGTTTTTACTGCTCATCGTAAAGTCGCCAAAAGTAGCTAAATCCCGTGTGCACCGGATACTAGGATTAAACTCTAATGGTAAATGGCCTTAGTGGTTAAACTTAAACGAAAACCAAACTCTTTCGCGATTTAAATCTCTTTGTTGGAGATATTTTTCCGGTTTTAGGCAATTTTATCACCTATTCGGACTTTATTTGGCGACTTTACTTCACTTAAAATTAGGCAAAACAGCCGCTTTGTGTTTGGCGTACATTTTTTCGAAAAATATAAAAGCTGCTGTTTCGCCTAGTTTTAAATTTAACTTTAGCGTATTTCTCTTCTCTCTTAACTTTACTTCGATTTAAAAAGTGCGATTTATAATATTTTGATAATAATTATCGAATTCTTGATCATAATAAGCTAAGTGTTTTCCATCCTTTCATATATACAGACGGGCGGAACTTGGGAAATTCGATAACAATATCCGAATAATATTATTAAACCGCAATGATATTAAGCGGAGTCTTCTGTACTGAAAATGTATTAATACAGAAAATACTTTTCTAAAATTCTTATTGGCAACAGACATTGCAACTCTGAATCATTTCCTTTGCCGCAAAAAGCTTTATCGTATAACAGAAAACAGTTCCAAGTAGTATACTTCAGATTTACGATCTATCGAGCAATAAAATCAAATTTGCATTGAATGAGTAAGTAGCTAATAACTTCATATGCATCATTAACTTCCTTAATTACGAACAGTGGGTAGATCACAGAATGTTTATCTGAGTTCTTGAATGCTAAATGCAACCAAACATTAGCGCACTTTTATTGACGTTTATAAAAAGAGTCTCAGCTGTTAAAACACGTTCACAGTATTTTGAGCTTTCGGATAGTAAATACCTGAGAGTGAATTTTAAAACCTCAAAAATATATTTTAGTTTTCATAAAAAAGATAAAAACGCTTTTCGTTTGTACTCGAAAAATAGGCAGTGAAATTCCACAAATATTTAAACTTTTTCAAAGCGAGCGCAAAATTACAGATTTTTTAAAGAAATAAACATATACAATAAGCATGGAATTTGACAATTTGTATTATCTGTAATTTTCCCGTATCCGTAACCTGCTTTAGTGCAGAAAATCAAGAGTAAATTGCAATTTCAAAAGGCAAAACTTATTTTCAGTATTCGTCAGAGCAACAAATTCGCCAACTTTTAACTTTCGTATTTAACTTGCACAGAGTTATATAAAAGTATCGTTTAAACAAAACATAAAAATTCTAACTGAAAAAATAAACATGCCAGTATCAAATTCTAAGTTAAGCAAAATGCCAACATTAATTGGCATATAAATTTTGCGTAACATTTGCTTTATTCAAAATCTACGCCAATCTAATATTGCTTTTCTGTTTAATTTTGAATAATTCTGTTAATTCTGTGAGAATTCTGTTAATTTTAAAAAATCAGCGTTAACGCTGATTTTTGTTGTTTGACTTCTGAATTAGTATTTGTTCGGCGTGTTATTGTATCTTAATTAAGCTTTAGATATGTTAACATGGGAAAATCAATTAGATTTACGAGTTTTTCTCACAATCTTTGCTTTCTCTCTAATTTTTACCAGCATTTCATCGAGTTCTCATCCGATTAAGAAAGTTATGTTAGTACATATCATGAAATAATAGCTTTTTATGAATGCAATAAAAATTTCTCTACGATGATGACATTCTTTCTAATGAAATCAACGTAACAAAACATCTTTTTTCTACATGTTCGAGCAGATTTCTGGTAATCTAAATACAATACCTGAGAAGCACCCCTAAGGAAATTGAAAATACCTTATTTTTAAACATTCCCACAATGCATCTATAAAACTAGCGTACTGAAATTTATTTTAATTATTCTACGATTTGTAGAAAATAATTTTCCAGATACGCCCACTTAAAACTTGTAAATAAACACGCGTTTTCAACACACAGACTTTGGATGCAAGATGTACACTTACCCGAAACAATGACTTTGCTGATTACTTTATTAATATTCTTTAATTTTCTTAAAGTAAGAATCAGAACTAATTTATGTGCTCTAACACAAAGGTTTCTCAGAAAAATAACTGAAAAAAAAAAAAAAAAAATTTACTTCACTACCACTGTTTAGAAAAAAATTAACGTGGGGCTTGCTTAAATTTGCTGTTTTACGGAATTTAAATGCCTGATTTTAAACTAAAAAGCAATGCAAATTGTTCAGTTACAGCTTACTAATCATGCTAATATCATTTACAACATAGTAGAACATTCTGCTAAGATTTACGAATTAAAAAATAAATTAAATACTTTTAATACAGAGAAAATTCTAAAATTATATATATATATATTCAAGAGAAAGTTCGAAGTATTTCAGCTTACTTGGTAAAGAATCGGTTAATTAATATTCGAATAAAAATGTAATATTGACATTTTTATTCTGACAGTCAATAAACAAAAGACACTATTTTTTTGAAAATATTGCTCAATTCAATTTCCATTTATAAGCAGATATTATTAATAATTTCATTTTAAAATAAAAGACGTTTGTTATTTTGATTAAAATACTGAAGGTATGAGCTTGAAGATTACTACGTACATAATATTCTTCAAGTTGTAAACAAATAAAATTAAAAAGAAGAAAAATATGATGTTTGAGTCATTGGTGATACGTAGTATGCCAACTGACGGTTAAACGACATGGCATAATTTATTTTTTGATTCGACTTACACTATGCTATCTTGACAGTTTCTATTTTATCCGACTCGCATCTCATTCACTTTTAATACAGAGGAAGTTCTAAAATTATATATATATATATATATCCACAGAACTTCAAATAGCTACATACCTTTTCAGTTGGATGTTTTATGTAAGATTTACACGATGATCCGTCATGACTCATGTTTCCAAAATATATGAATTCCTTGTCAAAATGAAAAGGTAAAGTATCAACGAGGAGGTACTTTCGAACACCAGAAGTTCATATTTCCTTTTCGCTCCAAACACACACCTCGTTCACACTCAGGATTCCATCCAAAATAATTCAAATTTCCCTAAGTTGTATGTAGCCAGCTAAACTTTCCAAGCGGCGACCTTTCGGTTCTACCTCTTCTTCCCTTCACCTGTTGATTCTACCAACCCAGCCTCAGGTCTGAGCGAAACGTGCACCTGACCTTCGAAGTGAGTGAAAGTGATGGCAATGAAGTGGAAGTTCCTCTTCTCCTTTCCGCCCCTCCCCGCGTCTTTTTCTTCGTTCGTTCTTTTTCTCATCTGGCCCTTTTCCCCTTAACCTTCCCCCTTACACTGTCGTATTTTTGAGTCAGTTTTTTATTTATGGTTTGAGCTGACCGGTTGCGATAAGGAGAGGATGGATGTTGACAAAAAGAGAAAAGTGGTTTTGGTAAAATTTTCTCTTATTTTGAAATCCAACGAAAGCGTTTACAATTCTCTCCGCAGACGGAAGGTATTAATTTAATAGACATGCAGATAAGTCTCTTCGTGAAGTCAAAACACTGAACTTTTCTCTTCAGCTGACTGCATTACAGGCGTAATTCTTTTCATTCCATTTTCGAATCTACTGCACATTTTAAAAGATCGCCACCTGTGGCAAATCTACCTGAAGCCAGCCTGTTGGTTAGTGCAGTTGTCATTGTTTACCAATACCTATTAAAGCCAGGCAAATGAGACCAAATTGTTGGCGGTATTTGCTTGCTTTGCCTTGCGCATTATGGTAATGTGCAAAGTGTTTACGTAGCTTCCGTATATAATAAATATTTCAACGATGGTTGTTGTTGAGACTTATCTCACTTATCTGACAGTAACATCAGAACAAGCCCGGAAAATTCTTCGTTGCAAAGACTTCAAGATGCGCCTGTCGTTGGCAAGACCCTTGAGCGACAGTACAACTTTGCTCAGTTCCGCCCCCCCCCCCAATTTTGATGGAGAACTCCCCGGGGGGGGGACGAGTCCGAGGATCCCACCCCTTTTCTTCTATCACTAATCTCTCGAAAAAACATTCGGTCGCCGCATATTTAGAGTACCTCCATGTTGCACAGACATGCAGGAATTTGTTATCTTAGTGATAAGAGGTACACATTCTATTAAATGTTCTTACATAAGAGTCAGGCACATGGTAAAGTAAACTGCGTTAAGTTATGTTTGGGTGCTAGGATTTTTTTTTAATCATCTTTTAATCTCTCTCTTTATTTAGTTATTTTTTTTTTATTTTTTATTTAAAGTTTACTATGTGAAATAATTTAGGTACAACTCTAATATACGCCCTAATTTCACCAAATGTGGCGATATGTGTTCTGCGCTGGTTTTTAGCGCGATTGCGTGTTCTATGGCAACCCTGTTGACGTTGAAAAATCTTTCGCTGGAGCTCGTTGGTTCGCCTCTGTGTCTGAGAAGATGGAGAGGAAAGATAAAATGGTAAGTTGTTGAATTGAAGTTCGGCAAAAGGAAATTGATTGTGGCTATCCTGTTGAGAGGTAGTGGGTATTTGGAAGTGTGGAAAGAGGGTTTGGAGATTATTTTTAATGGCAGTGCATGATAGAAGTAGGGATTTGTAATTTTATTTTTTGTGAAACCATAGTATAAATTTTCTGGATAGTGTGTCTGGCTGTTATGTAAATACGATAGTGATTACGTGGCGGCATGCTAACGGCGGTATGAAATTTATATTTCTGCTATTCAAAAACGCATTAATTCATGGTAAGTGCATTTTATCCTTGTTCTTATTTTGTAGAATGTTATGTTCATTGGTTCTTTAGTATGAATTTCTATTGTTGTTTGTTTAAATTGTTTGAAATTTATTTTAGTTTATTTTCTTGTTTAGTATCTAGACTGTACAATTTTTAAAGTTGAAACAGAACGCTGTGTACATGGTATTATTTGAAATTTATTGTTGTTATGTTATTTAATTAAAGCGAGGTGTGCGTAGTTTCTAGATTCGTTCGTTGCCTACATTGTGCAATACGTAGATGTTTTTTTAAGTTAAAACATGTCGCTGTGTACATGGATTCTTGTCAAATATTTTTGGCTAGAAACTTTACGTTTTTGATATCTAAATTTTTTGTTTTTGTTTCGGATTTTTAGCTAAATTGTGTGTTCAAAACGTAGTTTTTGCATGTGCGAAACCGCGTTTTTGGAGACATTTTAGGCTAAAAGTTCAAAATGTAAACAAAACATTTAGATAGTAATATGGCAGCTTGAAGTTTCTCGCCAAAAATATTTGGCGAGAAATTTGGCGACTTGAGGGCGCATATCAGAGTAGTTCCATAATTTAATAGGTTACAACTTTCCTCCATGCAGGACCAACGATTTCACAAAAGCCACATAAATATATGACAGTTGTGTCAGGATAAGCACCCGCGTGTAGACATTTAGCAAGTCCAGAAAATCCACGGCAGTTAATTTTCCAGGCAGAGTCCTCTTATCTTTACTTTATCTAGCAGAAGTTTCTGTCTATTCTAACAGCGATTCTTAACAGTCTTTTGATTTGCTTCTTTGCGTAATTTTAAGCAGTTCTTAACAGGATACTCTTTCCCCGAACAACAACTATCCAAGCTTACATGTAAGACTTTATGAGGCTCTTAGCCTGTCTATTCGGCTGCGTTCCCGGAGAGAGAGAACGGAGGACGTGGGCACCACTATCCCTTTATCAAACGGTTAATTAGTATAGCACCACGTCCACCACTATCTATAGCACACCTTCAAAATACATAATGCCACCTGAAAGGTAATTCAACGTGCACGACAAGACTTACAATATAACATGTTACAGAGTTACAGATTAATATTCAAGATACATTACTGGTACATTACTGATACAAACATGACAAATGCTGAACTGATAAAAGGCTGATATAATTAATACTAATATTAACACCGATTAATACTGCTACAGTACTGATACATTGATATAACCTGATTATTACTGATAAAGGGGAATGATTTTGCATAAGTCGGTAAATAAATCCACGAAATAATACGTTACAGAGACTCAAAATATTGCGAATTAAAAAGCACAAATGAATGTTCTATGTTACATTTCTGTACTATTGTATTATCTATAGCAGCCCTTCAAAAAACATAATGCCACCTGAAAGGTAATCAACGTGCACGACAAGACATACAATATAACATGTTACAGAGTTACAGATTAATGAGCAGGATAAAGCAGAGAGTAGATGGTTTCTTCCAGGAAGATAACACACTGTGAGGCTAAGGCCAGGTCAGTGGTCTTCCTTGGTGGCGCTCACTCACTCACTATCTATTTACATGGTTACGATGGCTTTTAAAACCCTCTAAGCGGCAAGGCCGTATATATACGGCCTAGAATATTATTGTGATACCTGTAAGAACGTATATATACGTGCATATTAAAATATATCAACGAAATCAAGGCAATATACCAAGAAAATGCAAGCAATAAATACGTACAGTTTTTACATTAAAACAAAAAATGGGGGGGGGGGGGGGGGGGGGGGGGGGGGGGTGGGGGGGGGGGGGGGGGGGGGGGGGGGGGGGGGGGGGGGGGGTTTAGTGGGGGGGGGGGGGTGGGGGGGGGGGGGGGGGGGGGGGGGGGGGGGGGGGGGGGGGGGGGGGGGGGGGGGGGGAAATTTTCCTAAACCCTGGTCCCCAGGGGGGGTTCGGTAACTAATATTGTGTATTTGTATAAGGGATAGATGAGTCTGGTTTGACCAGCGTGGCCACCTTGCATATAAGTGAGAGCACCATTTTGCAAGTCAAGACATAAGTAATAATCGGTATAAGTTCACTTTTTTTATTATACGCCTATTGAGTTTTTGGTTGAACAAGATGCCTGGATGCCCACGTCAGTTCTAAGTGAATAATCACCAACTTGAATAAACATTCTGGCACCTTTTTGCAAGTTGGCCGTTGTTCGTTAAAATGCAAGGGGTACCCGGCGCCCTCATGAAGTTTAGTTTATACCGTGAAGAAGGCATCTTTCATTAAGATGCCATGATTGATGGGGAGATATGTAAAACGGTGCCTGCATTGTTATTGCAAGTCATTCGGTTTGGTGGGACATGAAAATTACCCACTATGGAGCAAAGAGTTAAATTCTTCCGTTACGAATTCACGACGATGGGGTTTAGACAGCAAGTTTAATACGTTTATCATTAGCTTTTTTTTTTTTTTCCCATTTATTTTATTTTATTTTTATATTTAGCTTCACTAGATTTTTTCTTCCAATGAGTAGGTTGCTTTTTACTTTCTTTTACAAAGTAAAGGGAGTATTGTAATAGCAAAAATTTTCGGGTATCAAATTTCAACGAAAGTATCATCCATTTTGACCCCTATCGAATACAATTTAAAGATATTTTGCGTGACATCTGTACATACGGACAGAATAAAGGACTTTTTTTCCCCAAAACGGATTGCCAGAATTGATTTAAAGCGGATTCATAATTATTGTGATGTCTGTACGTGCGTATGTATGTATCTCGCATAACTCAAAAACGAGTAGCCTCATAACGTTGAAATTTTTTATATGAGACTGCGATAACATGTAGTTGGGCACCTCCTTTTTTGGTTGCAAGACATATAAAAATATACATATATATATATACCCCTCTGTTACCCGAATCGGTGAGCTTAGTTTTTTTTTTATTCTTATATGTTGGTAGATTGTGCATTTTTTTTAAATTTTAAAAATGATTGAATCATGTTCTTATGTTCTGATTAATTTTGATTCATATAATAATAATCCGATTGTTTGATTGATAATATGATCCGATTGTTTCCTTAAAATTGTTAACCTGCATGCAATATTTGTAAAATTATCAACAATTTAAAAGTTGTTTAACTGCGGCTAAGCCTAATTTTTTTACCATAGCAGCCATATTTGTTTACATTTGAAGCTTAGCAGAACAGTGAATTAAGTCAGTTTATGCACCTTAAGTGTTTTTTTTTGGCCGAGTGAGACCGGAAGTGAAATTTCAGTTTTGTGCACCAAAAAGTCTACCTTCTTGCCCGCTGGTCAAATTGCTTGTTTTTGCGTGCAAACTCTAATTTGAATTGTAAAAATTGTTTTATTCTTTAATTGTTTTAACTGTATTTGGTGTTTTATGTTTTCCTGTATGTTTCAGTTTTTAATATAGATATTTTGAAGTTTTACGTATTTTTGCCTTGCCTCGAAGTGAGAACTGAATTAAATTAAATGAGAAATATATCTCTAATGAAATTCGAGGAAATAAGTTTAAATGAAAATGCAGCAAAAAATGCATATAATTTAATATTCCATACAAGGAAGTCATGTAGTGTCTGCATCAGATTTTTTGTTACATGAATTCTGCTATCATGATTAATGTTTCATCCGTTTTAAACCATCGATATTAGAAAAAAAGGCAGAATTAAGGATATCGGCACTTTGGGAAATTTCCTGAATTACCGATAGACCCATCAGCTTTTGTTTTCTATGTCTTCGGAAGATTATTATTTGATTTTGTTTACTGTCTTCTCTCCCTTTCCTTGAGCAATGAGACACTTTGCTAGTTAAGCAATCGTCGAAAAAAGCCGAATCAGTCGAACATTTAGCCTTCTCATCCCAGAACAGCTTGCAATTGTAAATATTGGCTTAGTATAATACTAATATAAAAATACGCGGACCCTGTTCCTGTTAACGATATTTTTATGTGGTTAGTTTAATCTTCGTTTTAGTTTCTAGTTAAAATTTCCTTATATTTTGAATGCACACATTTCTATTTTTGTGTACAGTATTAAAATGCGAATGTTGCCACCAAATATTACGTAATGTAATTATTTTTGCCTTTTCTAGTGTTTATCAATTTAAGTCTTTTAAAATTTCGAGATTTATAAGGTGGCCGAATACTCTTATGACTTATAATGACT